ACAAATCATAATAATAATAACCATAATAATTCTGTAACATTTCGACCTCATGTTTTTACGACCAAAAGAATTACCAAATGTCAATTTTTATGTCTGTTTTGAACACGTATCTACATTGTTAAAATGACTGTTAGCGTGTATTTAAGTGACCCTCCCATGCAAAGATAACAATGCTTTTCGAGTCATGAAAAGGTGAAACGAAACGACGATATCTTTCACATTTTGGATCAAATCAAGGTTTCAAGGGTACCGTAGTGAATCGGGCATTGCCATCTTTGTATGGAGGCTCACTTGATATTACGGGTTTACTTTAAAGAACGGTTTATTTGCCTAAAACTCTAATTTTCTTATATTTAGATATATTTTCAACCTCCATATGTTGTAAACCTGAGATATATTGAACTTCCTTTGACTTTTTTATACAACAGTATTCATTGTAATTGTTGTATAAAGGGTCTGATTGCAATTTGAGTTTAGAGCAAGTAATTAGCTCCTTTCCAATATCTTTGATATCTGACATCGGCAATAATTCATCAGTCAACACCGGTTCACCCAATATTTGTAACCAGGTGTGTGCATATGTGAGCTATTCCAGTATTCTAGTTTACCAGGTGTGTTATATATATAATATATTTTACATGCTTAAATGTTTCTCACCCGGTACCCTCTCTCTCTAGAAACCTGACTCATCCCGAGCCAAACCCATTTTCTCTTTTTTAGGTGATATATTCATCCTTGGCTGAGTCATTTTATCCATCTAGGATGCTAGCCTATTGTTAGATGGTCCCTGAGAATAGTTGTATCGAATTCAAGGATTAGAAAAAGGATTTATAAAATCAGAGCTGGGAACTTTTGAATGATTGATATCGGGATTAATGCTTGATCCACTCTTTTTCTTGATCTCGAGAAAAAGTATTGCTTGTTCTCCTCTTGTCATTAATCTCCAGATTAATTAACCGATCGGGATTAAGGATATATCCCATTCTAAAGTTTTCAGCTCAGTTTTGTTCTGTTTTTGTAAATAGCATAAACATAAAATCATAATAAATTCACTGACCATGACGGTTCTATGAGATAGCAGGCAAGTTTATAGCACGGGGTACAATGCCAAAAATGGATATTAAAGGCGACTTAAAACTCTTTGAATATAAATATCTTAAGTCTGAGTTTTATCTTCTTCCTTAAAAAGTTTTTCAGTCTAAAACATGATTTTGTAAAGAATTTTGTACTGGAATTGAACACACGGCTCAAATATGGTTGGTTGGTTCCACTTAAGATTCTTTTCAATGTTTCAAGATTTAAGCCAGCGCTCAATTGAAACTGGTTTTTGGCGAATTCATCAAATTCAGAATCATGACTTTTTAAAGAAATTTTTGTAGTGTCTGATCTTAGAAGTCTTTTGCGGGTAATATAATAATAACCAATGACATAATCTCAACCTTGCTGATGAACTAATAAGATTAAACGAATAATATCGGAGATTTTACCTTGCTTATAAACTTGTATTCTTGTATAATGTCATTTTAATAGTTCATCTACTCCCTAATTATTAATTCAAACATACTCTTTCCTGCAATTAGCTACTCTAAATTCAGTTTCACTTTCCTTTTTTCTCTTTTATTTCCTTTCACTTCTCCTTTTTCTTTTTTACTTTTTTTTAACCCTTGCAATATTATCTTTTTGGTTTTTTTGTTCTCTAAACTTATATGCGAAACTGTGACTTCAGCCCTTCCTTGACGGATAAACCATATATGTTGGAAATATCTTTATTTCTTTCAGGGGTCAAGCCTTCTCACATTATTGCCAGAGATGGACAGCTTTCCCCAGGGTGTTAAATCCTTAAATTCCCCAGTACAAAAGGTTTGTCTTTATATTCACGTTGTTTTCCCCCACGGTGAACTGGAGGTCCTGGTTAAAAATCTATTGAGTCTTAACTTTAGACCCCATTTTTACTCATTGAATGTAGATTTTTTGTATTAAGTATTTTAAATATTTAAGTATTTAAGGTTTTAACGCTATAGTTGACAGATTTAGAATGAGAGATCAAAATATCAAAATTTTCCATAAAGACAGGATGCACTTCGCTGGGTAGTTAGATTTACCGGCCTCGCTCCCCTCTCTCATTTTTATTTCCATTTTCCATATTTTTATTTTTTTCTTCCCCTTCCCTTGTTGCAACTGCTAGTCTCCTATTGAGTGTCTGCTTTATTTACCCAATGTCCGGGCGGTACAGTACAAAGTGGGACCGGAAAGGTTGACCCAGCTCGGAAATTCAAATGTACTACGACTGCCCGTGACTGTTATCTCTTATTATTGTTTGTAATGACAATGATATAAAACAAGATGAATAAATGTCATTATAAAATCTATTATTAATCTGTAAATCTTTCAGCTAGAATGTTTTTAATATTATTTTTCAGTATTTATTAAATTTAAACGAAAATTTTAAAGAATTTTTATTATCAGCTTGATATACAGGACTAAAAACTAAACATTCACAAAAAACCATTAATTAAATCATGTTTAGCATTACTGAAACCAACTTTTTGATTTCCATGACAAATCAATCAATCAATTTTATCAATCAATTCTTTTGACAGTAAAGAAAAACTACTACCATATTCAGACTATTTGAATCTCAAGAACTCTAAAATTTTCCAAATCTCACACTTGAATCCCCCCATGAATGCCAAGCTATCTATATGTTTATATACCCTAAGAACTAACTGAACCGTTGCTTCCAAGTATGGTTGTTGAAGCCAGTATCTAGGAAGATCGGTGACTCATAGAACCCAAACCTGCTCCGGGTGTTGGACTATACACGGACCAAATTTTGGGTGTTGCATTTAAACCGGGTCTTGAGGCTTTAATTCAGAACTGGGAAATATATTTAAATTGACATTTTTAAAAGGCATAGATAGATTTTTGCACGACATCTTAGAAAGAACATGGATACAATGCAGTAGACAAATGTGAAGATATATGTTTAAATGGATCAACAAGAGTTCCGAAAGCTTCGCGACATCTTTACTTTTCAGCTTCTTTTTTTGGAATCACAGGAAATAAGACCTATTTTAAGAGCCATAAAATAAACAATCAGATAAATAGATTTAGTAATTTGCGTATCAACCATGTTTTAGATGCTAAACCATCTGTGACCCCCCCCCCTCACATCCAACCTTTCAACTATTTTGTATTTTCCAACCAATGTGTTGTTCAGGCCTAAGATTGTTTGTCCTTGAAATTGCAAACTGATGATGCGTCATTCATAAAAATGCACTTCGAAGTGCGCTCTTCCAAACCAAACCAAACCAAATTATAATAATTAGAAGAAAAAAGTTTTGATTTCATTGTTCTCTGCGCATTTATGCATGAAAGTTTAAAGAGGAAGGAGAAAGCATAAATCAATCATGGTTTAATTATTAATTCGGAATCAAGTGTAAGACTCCAGGCTTAGTCCTTTCGCAAGGTCAGACGGTAGACGATTTATTCAAATTAGTTATTCCGGAGGGGGGGGGGGGTTATTGAGTGGATTTCAGGATAAAAAGAAGAAACCGAAAGCATCAAAACGTGGTTAAACCAGGGGTATCTACACATTGGAGGGGGGGGCATAGGCCTCATATTAAAGGGAAACAGAGGGGAGTTTCATCCCCCCCCCTCTAGATCTCCAAATGGTTTTGACACTGAACTTTGTATTGATTTTGTATTCTGCAATCAAGAATTTATTTTGTAACCTGATCCTAACTCTAGGTTAAGTCATATATCCGGCCGGACCGGACCATTTCAGAAACTAAAACCGTGTTTACAATTTTACAATCTAGTTCTTGAATCTGTTTAATGACGTTTTTATTTAATCAGGCGGAAAAGATAAAAATAGTTTTAAATCTTTCTGTTTAAATATGTTTTAATTTATTCAAATCATAATTATTATTTCTTGTTATTAGCAAAGTAAAATAGGCTAAAATCCTGTAAAGAAAAATAAAGACTAATTTATCTAGAAAATGCTCTAGACCTAGCCCAACTTTTTTATTTAATCTTTAGTCACTTTCCTAGTTGTTGTTTATAGTATTTTAAAAAGTTTACGCCCTTCATTTATAGTACAGTTTGTCATAAAGTTTTTAGAATTAAACTCAGATACGAATAGTTTTGTTTATACACATATTAGTATAGACAAGATTCGTTATATACGCATTTTTAAATGAAGTTTTAAAGATTTAGTAAAAATTATTTTCGAATTTAAATACAATGAACAATAGCTGCGCGTTTTATATTTTGTCGACAATGGTTAAGTTTTGCTTCCTATTTTCACGTTCATATTTTTGTATACAAAATAAGGAATACAGTTCACAATATACACCCTACTCTATTCACGCCCCGGATACAGAGGATAAAGAGAAAATCTACTTTTTAGATAATATTTGGATGCAATAAGAACAGGTTTATATTTTTACAGGGTCTCCTTGAAACCCCTTCTATTTCTCCTTTTTAACCATAATATTAATTTCTTAACTATTTCGATTTTTTGGCCTATAATAGTGACTGATGTGTAATTTCAATATCGTACTATAATAGCGACTATTGTGTAATTTCAATATCGTACTTTTGGCCTATAATAGCGACTATTGTGTAACTTCAATATCGTAGTTTTGGCCTATAATAGCGACTATTGTGTAATTTCAATATCGTACTTTTGGCCTATAATAGCGACTATTGTGTAATTTCAATATCGTAGTTTTGAAACCTTTTATTTCATCAATTAGGTCCAAAAGTGGATAATTCTGAAAGCTTCCTCCTTTGTTGCAATTTGTAAGAAACTCTTGCAAAGGGGCCACACTTAATAATGATCAATCTTTAAATAAATAAACAAGAATATCTCATTCACTCTTGACCAAACATAGCTTTTAAGGAACCGTTGTGAAATAGACATGCCACTTCATAAATTAAGAGTCACTGTAAATAATTACTTAAGTCCTTTAAAAAAAAACTTTTAATCAACTTACCCACAAGTGCAAATTTCGCAAATACATTTTTCTTCTTTCCTCACTTCTTTTTTAACCTTGGTATCTTTAGTTTTCATTGTTGCGCTCACTGTTTATTCATATGTATACCTATATCTGAATCAAAATATGACGGTCAATAGATAATTGCACCCAAATCTTGAACAATGAATGATGAATGATGAATCAAATGATGAATTAGAAATATATATAATAATAAAAATGATTCAGTAATCTACAATCAATAATTGTATTATACTTTGTAAAATAAAAAATTTTAGGGAAAAATTTTGTTGGGCTTTTCGGTAAAAATATTGCATGTGATAAATCTTTATTAGGCTATTTATAATTGATAAATGAATAGATATTGAATGCATAATGATGAATGAATGCTGTATGGATGATGAACAGATGATGAACAGATATTGAATGGATGAATAATGGATGATGAATTAATGATGAATGATGAATGAATAATGAATGTAAGATGAATGAATAATGAATGTATGATTAATGAAAATAAACGAATGATGAATGATGAATGGATGATGAATGATGAATTGATGATGAATGATGAATGGATGATGAATGGATGATGAAAGAATGGATAAGCTAGTGCCCAGGTGTGCTGTCCCAGAACGACTGATGCTATTGCAACCTTCCTACTCTAGTGCGGTATCTAGTATAGAATATATTCACTATACAATATACACCCTCTACCCTCTACACTTAATCCTATATTACAAATTACAGATTTAGGGGTCTTTTATGAACACTGTTAAGAAACAGTTTGAATTTACCAAAAGCACTAGAAATTTTGAATATTGTGTTAAAAAAAATGAACAGTGATGTCATAGAAATATCAAAATTTGAAAGATATCCCTAATATTCTGTTCATTTTGATTTCGGGTTTAGATTTTATTTTTAGAATTACTTTTTGATTCTAGATGTTTTCTTAGTGCAGAAATATATCTTGATCCTATATAGTTTAGTCATCTAGAGAATACAGTCTTTATAGTGGTTGGTTAAATTTTTACTTTTAGAGACTACATTCATACTTACAAGGTGTCCCACAAAACATGGCAGTTGGTGAAAAGTTTAAAATTTCTTCTTCCATAATTTGATAAGTTGTTTGATACTAAAGAGACTTATAACATTTTTTATATGACATTTATACAATCGTAAAATTGATTTCACAGTAAAATATATATGAGTTAAACATTTTTTAAAGAATTAAACTGCAAAAAGTCTTCAATATCTAATACAGTATGTGGAAGAAGACATTCAAAATTTTTCACCAACTGTCATATTTTATATATTATGCTTTATATTCTGAATTCTCGATTTTTTTTATCATATTCTATAAACACTAAATTCTGTGCACGTTTCAGATTCTAGATTCTGGTCTCCTGTTCTAGATTCTAGTCTCCTGGTCAAGATTCTAGTCTCCTGTTCTAGAATCTAGTCTCCTGTTCTAGATTCTAGTCTGCTGGTCTAGAATCTGGGTTCTGAATCTGTGTTAACTTTATTATATTGACAACACCCACACCTTCATTTAAATGTATATCAATCAATCAACCAAAGATTGACGACATTTAGAGGAACTATAAACTTAATTTCAAGTAACACTCTTTGCAAAGATGGCAAATCCCAGGGTTATAATACAAGGAAAGTTATTTCAGAAGTGTACGCATCTTTTGTACTGCAGTGCACTGTTTCTGTGCGGTAATGTAAACACAAGACGGATGTCACAGTCTGACATGGGATCCATCTTCTACATAAAAAAATCAATATTATGTTCTGGCCAAAGGAAACTATTATGTGAATTAACAAAATTTTCATATTTCAATGCTTTTATCCTCCTCGGATACTGCTGCATCTATTCTTGTTTACAAATTCCGCCCAGAGAGAACTGGGTTTCAATATGTACGCAGAGTATGCGCAACTTGCAATTAACTTTCCTTGCATTATTACCATGGCAATTCACGATTCACAACGTCACCCTTGCGCGCAATATTGACATTGTTGCGCATTGATTCGAAATATATATTGCGCGAAAAGTTGACATTACGAATGTGAATTTTGCGTGCAGGGTCATTTACATTTACACTGCCCTATCAGATTTCGTATTGGCAAAACTAACATCGGTAAATAAGATGAATTTTGAAAGTAATTTAGATAGATAGAAAATAGAAATATAGAGAAGAGATGTATGTTTTTTAGATAGTAAAAATTTTTTCTCCCTTTTTTTTCCCACTCGGAAGTGTATTCAGGGGGGCGGTGGGGTTCAGTCCCCCCCCCTGGAACAGTGAAATCTTTGGGTTCCATAGGTTTCTGGGCGCCAATGGGTGCTGAGCCTATAATATAAAGACCCCTTTTCATTTTGATCCCTGAAATAAGAAACTATTAAATAATTTTAGAAGATGCATAAACAGGAGACAAATAAACATGTTACTTAAGAAAATAATAAAAAGTTGTTTTTCGCAACATTGCGCATGGTTTATTGAGCAAAATTGTGCAATCTTCATTGCAAATTGTTTTACGCATCGCAAAAAAATAATTAGCGATATTTAGCGAAAAAATGCCATTGCTTGAAAACCCTAACTCGAATAAATATATATATTTAATGAAAGGAATTTAGTCTTTGTCACAAACTCAAATTTTCTAACCCCTATATCTTTGCAACCTGATGGTGTAAACCTTTGATATTTTAAACATAGATTATTTGATTTGACGGAGTTCAAAGTTTGAAAAATAAGAGTTGGTGGAATGACTCTATACCTTTTTTTCTGTTCATGGTTCTTTTGTTTTTCAATTTAAGCAATATCAAAGCGCTGTCTTAAAATCAAATTAAAATTGTTAAATGTTAAAAATGTTAAGAATTTAAAACCTTTTTGCAGACCTGAAGCGCCCGGAATTTCTAGGACTTGTTTTACTTGATTACCAACAAAGGAAAACACTCCTCTAATGACGACTTGAAACTCTACAAATATAATGGTCTAAAGGTTGAATTTGATTTCTTGTCTTAAATACATATATTTATAAAAGTTTGATTAAATTACTGTTACAAAGAAATATTTATGAAGCTTTTAAGTTTTATATAAAAAGTCTAAATAAATTCTGTACAGTCATCTTCAACGTCTCATCTTTTGTGGATTCCACTGTGTAAACTTGCTAAAATACTATTTGATGCTTTCTCTCAATTGAGATCTGTTGAATTAGAAATCAGATTAAACGGTCTGCACGCAAACCTCCAAACCCTACCAGGAGCCTGGATTTTCAGGTTCTGTACGCAAACCTCCAACCCTACCAGGAGCCTGGATTTTAAGGTTCTGCACGCAAACCCCCAACCCTACCAGGAGCCTGGATTTCAGGTTCTGCACTCAAACCTTCAACCCTACCAGGAGCCTGGATTTTCAGGTTCTGCACGCAAACCTCCAACCCTACCTGGAGCCTGGATTTTCATGTTCTGTACGCGAGTGAACCCTCAACCCTACCTGGAGCTTGGATTTTCAGGTTCTGTACGGCACGAACCTTCACCCTACCTGGAGCCTTGATTTTCAGGTTCTGCACGCAAACCTTAAACCCTTCCTGGAGTCTTGATTTTCAGATTCTGCACGCAAACCTTCAACCCTTCAGGGAGTCTGGATTTTCAGGTTCTGTACGCAACCAACCCTACCTGGAGCCTGGATTTTCAGGTTCTGCACGCAAACCTTCAAGCCTACCTGTAGTCTTGATTTTCAGGTTCTATACGCTCGCGAACCCTCAACCCTACCTGGAGCCTGGATTTTCAGGTTCTGCACGCAAACCTATAAACCTATCTGGAGCCTTGATTTTCAGGTTCTGCACGCAAACCTTAAACCCTTCCTGGAGTCTTGATTTTCAGATTCTGCACGCAAACCTTCAACCCTTCAGGGAGTCTGGATTTTCAGGTTCTGTACGCAAACCTCCAACCCTACCTGGAGCCTGGATTTTCATGTTCTGTACGCGAGTGAACCCTCAACCCTACCTGGAGCTTGGATTTTCAGGTTCTGTACGCGCGCGAACCTTCACCCTACCTGGAGCCTGGATTTTTAGGTTCTACTCGCAAACCTCCAACCCTACCTGGAGCCTGAATTTTCAGGTTCTGCATGCAAACCTCCAACCCTACCTGGAGCCTGGATTTTCAGGCTCTGTACGCAAACCTCCAACCCTACCTGGAGCGTGGATTTTTCAGGTTCTGTACGCAAACCTCCAACCCTTCCTGGAGCGTGGATTTTCAGGTTCTGCACGCAAACCTTCAACCCTACCTGGAGCCTGGATTTTCAGGTTCTGCTCGCAAACCTCCAACCATACCTGGAGTCTGGATTTTCAGGTTCTGCACGCAAACCTCCAACAAAACCTGGAGCCTGGATTTTCAGGTTCTGCAGGCAAACCTCCAACCCTACCTGGAGCCTGGATTTTCAGGTTCTGCACGCAAACCTCCAACCCTACCTGGACCCTGAATTTTCAGGTTCTGCACGCAACTATCCAACCCTACCTGGAGACTGGATTTTCAGGTTATACACGCAAACCTCCAACCCTACCTGGAGCCTGGATTTTCAAGTTCTGCACGCAACTATCCAACCCTACCTGGAGACTGGATTTTCAGGTTCTGCACGCAAACCTCCAACCCTACCAGGAGCCTGGATGTTCAGGTTCTGCACGCAAACCTCCGACCATACCTGGAGTCTGGATTTTCAGGTTCTGCACGCAAACCTCCAACAATACCTGGAGCCTGGATTTTCAGGTTCTGCAGGCAAACCTCCAACAATACCTGGAGCCTGGATTTTCAGGTTCTGCACGCAAACCTCCAACCCTACCTGGACCCTGAATTTTCAGGTTCTGCACGCAACTATCCCACCCTACCTGGAGACTGGATTTTCAGGTTCTGCACGCAAACCTCCAACCCTACCTGTAGCCTGGATTTTCAGGTTCTGCACGCAAACCCCCAATCCTACCAGGAGCCTGGATTTCAGGTTCTGCACTAAAACCTTCAACCCAACCAGGAGCCTGGATTTTCAGGTTCTGCACGCAAACCTCCGACCCTACCAGGAGCCTGGATGTTCAGGTTCTGTACGCAAACCTTCAACCCTACCAGGAGCCTGGATTTTCAGGCTCTGTACGCAAACCTCCAACCCTACCTGGAGCCTGGATTTTCAGGTTCTGCTCGCAAACCTCCAACCATACCTGGAGTCTGGATTTTCAGGTTCTGCACGCAAACCTCCAACAATACCTGGAGCCTGGATTTTCAGGTTCTGCAGGCAATTCTCCAACCCTACCTGGAGCCTGGATTTTCAGGTTCTGCACGCAAACCTCCAACCCTACCTGGACCCTGAATTTTCAGGTTCTGCACGCAAACATCCAACCCTACCTGGAGACTGGATTTTCAGGTTCTGTTCGCAAACCTCCAACCCTACCTGGAGCCTGAATTTTCAGCTTTGCACGCAAACCTTCAACCCTACCTGGAGCTTGGATTTTTAGGTTCTGTACGCAAACCTTCAACCCTACATGGAGCCTGTATTTTCAGGTTTTGCACGCAAACCTCCAACCCTACCTGGAGCCTGGATTTTTAGGTTTTCCGGAAAAAAACAGAATTTTTGCATTTCGTACTTTGTAAAATTTGGATCAAAACAATGTTACAAGATGTCGTTTTTTTGTGATTAAAAACAATATTTACTTTGTCTTCTATCTTTAAACACGGAGATGTAAGTAAGGCTTTGATATTTAAAACTTTGACTATTTTATCTAGCAGAATTTTGAAATATATATATTTTTATGTTGACGCATAAATAAATTGATAAAAAATATACATTATTTATTAAGAATACTTTTATACAAAAAACATTGTACAGATTTAAAAATAGGTATAACATCGTAATAGATAATTACGATTTTGTCCATACATCATAATTATAATATGACCAAGAACGAATGATTGAATTTTTTTTTTTTGACATTTAAATATTTTTTATGATTGGCACACCTATGTTTCAAATTATCTTTAATACAATAATATTTTGCAATCACAGACTGCAATAATCAACAAAATCCTTTTTATACATTATTGTTTATTATTAAATCATTAACAAAGTCAAAAATGTTTATTACTTGTACTCGCCTACCATATAAACAAAATTAGGCAGTTTCTTGTTTAGAGAGACAATGGTTTTGAGGTCATGGATTCAATATTTTATTTCAGTCTAGCGTTAAACATACTTTTATCTTTTTTTTGATGTGTACCACTATCCAGCAGAATATACCTTCGTTATCAAAAAGAAATAATTTCAAGAAATTTACGAAATGTGAAATAAAGACTAAAATTTTAAGAAAAATTAAATATTAATCATATCTTTCGAAATTGTCAATTATTGTACGTTAATGTTTAACAACTATAGTTATTAATCCTCTCAGAAAAAGTGTACACGGTACACATTTTTTTGTTTAAGCCAACTTAGAATATAGAGTGTGACCTATAAAACTGTGGAAGGGGTAGACGACTGTAAGGCTCAAGTTATGATTATAAATAGTCCAAGGAACATATGAAACATAGCAACTGTGCAGTGTAGATCTCTTTCTCTTATCATATTAACATCAAACCCTCACAAGATTGTATAATAATGTGGCCAGTTGGGAGTGGGACAATAAAGTGGCAGACCGGGATAATAAAGTGGCGCGCCAGGACAATAAAGTGGCGGGCCGGGACAATAAAGTGGCGGGCCGGGACAATAAAGTGGCGGGCCGGGACAATAAAGTGGGTCCAAATATGAAACCCACTTTTATGTACCAAGAATAGCGAGTAGTAGTTTCTTGTAGTTTCCGCTAGTTTCTTCTTTAACTACTTTACTCAGTCGTTTATCAAACATCTTCTTGAAAACACTGTCAATACTCAACAAATCTATCTAGAAAAAGTATGTATGTACAGTCTATGTTTTTAAAAAAAAAATACAATTTAAAGGAATTCGGTCTTTGTCGCCATTAATATTTAAATTTGAGCTAACAGAATTCATAGTTTGAAATATCTAAGTTCTACGACGACATTGGATTGAAAAGATATAGAGATGAAAAAATCCAAGTTTTGTGATAAATCTTTTGTAATTCCTTCAGAAATGTTTTACATATAAAAAATACATAAAATTTTCACAGTTCTTTTTTATGATCAGTTCAGATACAAATTTAAAATTTAGCTGTGATTTTTTTGTGTTTGTCAACATCTTAAATAATTTTTTATTATTTATTTTTCTATAAACAAGAGGTAAATTGGATTGTTTGAATCTGTAAAATCAAATCAAATCAATGTCAAATCAAACCAAATCAAATCTAATCAAATCAAATATAATCAAATCAAATAAAATCAAATTAAGTTAAATTAAATCTAATCAAATCAATTCAATTCAATCGAATCAAATCAAATCTTATGAAATTAAATTAAATCAAATTAAATTGAATATAAAGCTTAAACTAAAGTAAATCAATCAAATCAAATTAAATTTAAATGGATTAAGTTAAACTAAATTAAATTAAATCAAATCAAATCAAATCTAGTCAAATCAATTCAATTCAAGCAAATCGAATCAAATGAAATTAAATCAAATCTTATAAATTAAATTAAATCAAATTCAATTAAATTAGATTAAATTAAATTAAAAGCTTTGATTAAAGTAAACTAAATTGAATAAAATAAAATAAAATCTTATAGAATTGAATAAAATTGAATTAAATTAAATTAGATCAAATCAAATCTAATCAAATCAAACTAGATAAAATAAAATAAAATTAAAATTAAAATTCAATTTTTATACCTCTGCCCTACTGGAGAAGATAAATTGAAGTTTAGAATCCTTAGTTACTAATCCTTCCACTGCAGCAAATAGTTCTTCAGCAAAGAACGCTGACGGTTCATCAAGAACAAAAACTTAAAAGATTAAAATTTACATTTCACTTTTGTAAACAGTGAGACCCAAAGAGAGTAGATTAGTATAGAGTGGAATTAAGTCGAAAAATGTGTAAAACCGCCATTTTGTTGTACAGTTCCCAGACTGCAGGTGTACTTCACACATTTGCGTTACTGCTATATAACCTTATGGGTCCTGGAAAATATTTTTTTAGAAAAGAATGTTTTTGCAAATTATTTAATTTTCCTTAAATCAATTCTCTGACAACCTGTCATGCATTCCCGAGTTAATTTCAGCATAATCATTACTTTACATTCCCGAGTTCATTTCAGCATAAACTTTATAAAAAATGAAATTGTTAAGTATATGTCCAGGGTGTCCAGGGATCATACTTTTCTATTGTGATGTACTGCGTATAATTTGTGAACATTTATATGAATTGTACACTTTGAACTCCTTTTCAGGCTCAAAGGGACAGAACAAATTTATTTCCCTTCTATTCTAATCTCTGTTCTGTGGTGAGACCCATAAACCTACTAAATAGAAAGACGACAGTTAAACTTAGATTATGATTTTAAATAGTCCAATGAACATGACAAAAAGAGATTGTGCAGTGGAGACAGATCCATTTTACTGAAAAGGTTGATTTTCATGACTAATAAAATTATTTGCTTTATAAAAATATGTCGTCGCAATTTGTCAATGAGATACCATTGAACTCTATGCTTACAACGGAAACTTTTTGATTAAGCCGATTAAGAATTTAATCCTTGAAAAAAATGTGACTCACATTTCTGCAATCTTGATCCTATTGGCTGCGAGCAAATACTTTGTGGCTTCTAACTGGTTGGATCTTAGAGATATCAAAACCGACGGACATCAAGATTTATAAAGAATTTATAGCAATTCAAAAATTGCCACTTCAGATTTATTAGAAATAACATATGATATTGTAATTGCAAAAGTGTGTTTTACGTTAATTAATTCTACTGTTATATTTAATTTCGACAACATGTATTATTCACATAATCTGCATATTTAATGTTTAAGTGTTTTAATTTACATATTTAATTAAACTTATTATTTTTTTGTCGCTTCAGGAATCTCATTTTTAGGGGGCTTATACCATTTTTTCTTTTAATAAATCCAGTTCATTTTGTTTTACAAAAAGTATGTATAATGTTTATGTTTTTTAATTTGCAATATTAATTAAACTTAGTATTTGTCTTTGCAGTTTCACGAATCCTTTTTTATATTAATAAATCCAGTTCTGATGGTTTTGCAATAATTTTTGTTGTTGTTTGATATTATCAAACATTAAAAATGAATATTTGGAGTAAAATTATGTAACTACATTTTTGATATGATGTAGATATATTAAGAAAAACATTATATTTAATTTTCTGATCTGCATTTCGTTGAATTTTTATGTCATAGATTAAGTTGGTATTTTAAACTACGAATAATTTATGAGCAAATGCTGTTACGACTCTGTGACCTCCCAACTATGAGAAAATTTATTGATTGCATATTAAATGTTCTTAATTTTAATTTGCCGTGTATAAGAAAAAAACGTTAATTCAAATTCCGAAAACGAACAATTTTGATGTCAAATTCCCTGTTTAGGTTCCCTATGTGTATAATAAAAAAACTTACAAAGAGGATGAAAAGCTCCAGCCACTTTAGATCCGATCATTTTCTTCATATAATGAGCCAAATCCTTCCCGTTCTAATACAAACCATTCTCAATACTATACAGGGACTGTAAAGGAAAAATAAAAGAGGGTATAGGATGAAACATGAGAATCTCAGGCGTTAAACGATAAGACAACAATTTGATGTTCCTGTCTCGAGAAATTGATATGTAACTGTGTCAATTGACACTAATATTCATATATATGCAATTTTGTATAAAAGTTGTAGTATTGATTGATGATCTGTTTAATACTACAACAAATATGCAACCAATCTGTAGTATTGAACAGATGATCTGTTTAATACTACAACAAATATGCAACCAATCTGAAAATTACGATATCCCACAGGAGCAAGAGAATCTCAGGTTTGCTCCTATTATAAGGTTTCACCCTATACCTCCTTTCATTTTAAGTTAATGTTAATTGCCCAGCATGTTATGAACGAACACTCCCTTTAGATTGTCTAGGGTTAATGGTTAATTTTTAAGGGTTTATAAGTTAATGTGAAATGCCCGGCATGTTTAAAGGAACACTCCCTTTAGGTTGTCTAGGGTTAATGGTTAATTTTTAAGGGTTTATAAGTTAATGTTAAATGCCCGGCATGCTTAAAGAAACACTCCCTTTAGGTTGTCTAGGGTTAATGGTTAATTTTTAAGGGTTAATAAGTTAATGTTAAATGCCCGGCATGCTTAAAGATACACTCCCTTTAGGTTGTCTAGGGTTAATGGTTAATGTATAAGGATTTATAAGTTAATGTGAAATGCCCCGCATGTTATGCTTGGATTTAATTAACTTGAGTTTAAGGCACTCTTAATAGATTTGACATGTTTTGTTCCTGTTGTTCGAACTCCTCTAGGATATCAGGAAGGATGTCCCAGCTTCTCTGGCTCAGGATATTGTTAAGACGAACCTTAAACTCATCTTTATCCTTCCCCTACAAAACAATATATCAAATCACATTACCATTTTGTGTTTACGTAAATTTCAAGTGAAAAATCCAGGGTAACACCGTACTTTTGAGAATATACAGTGGTAAGCGATTATATCAATACAATGAAGACGACTTTCGAATTCAATTTTGATGTAAATTAAGCTGTTAAACAGCATGGATACACAAAAACATAGAAGTCAAGAGAATTTATCAATTAAAAAAGCTTCTTTTTGATTACTTGTAAACTGGTAATTCGAAAAAAGCTTGTTAAAAATAAAACCTTCATAAAAAGTCGTCTTCATTGTAGTGATATAAACTTTCTTGTTCTTATGGATAGGCAGGGTAGGGCTTTGAAATCCATTTTAAAAGGTTTTTTAATTTGAAAGTGCTCTACTGCACTAATGTAAGTTATTTACCACTTTTCGATAAGTTTGTTTTTTTACACAATGTAACATTTTTTCTCTGATCAAAGATATTCACCCAAACATTTAAAAAAAAGATTTGTCAATATAATAATATTTAACTGAAGGGCCGGGCGTTGTCCGTGGAAAATTTTTTTTTAAAAAATAGTTCGATTTTTTGCCTATAACACCCCCCGTCACCCATAAGTGCCCAAAAAAAATTTCAGCCCATTCGGTCCAGCCGTTTGGCCGGCTATAGGCAACATATATATATATATATATATATATACGAATGTCTTATTTTATTATATACAAGATGAAGAGCCCGGCGTTTCCCGTGGAAAAAAATCAAAATTTGAAAAAAAATTAGGAAAAAAAGTTTTTTTAGCCAATAACCCCCCCGGCCACCCATGAGTGTCCACACAAAAAATCAGCACAATTGGTCCAATCGTTTGACCGACTATACGGCACATATATACGTAAACATATATTTTTAGGTAAATAATTCTAAAACTTTGAACATCAATAAGATTTTGATACTCGTTTCCAAACCCCATTTGATTAATAATCATTAATTAAAATTGCGCATAGTGTAATATTTTCAAGCTATTTTAGGGTTGCACTTGCATCCTCTTTTTAATCTCAATTAACTACAGTTAAACCCTAAATGAACCATACATCGAAAAATTTATCAAATGTCGTCTTAACAATTTTTCAATGGGTTTTTATGCTATTTTACGTAAATCCCAGTATTTGCTAAAATAAATAAATAGCCATGAATATGTGGGAACAGTTTTATACATAATCATTTGATTAAAAAACTAAATATCTGCAACATTCCATTATCAGAAAGTGAATAATACGACAATTGATGAATTCTTTCGATGTACGGCTTATGAAGGGTTTAACTGTTGAAGCGTACTTTTTGTTTGAAAGCCTTGAATCTTAGGTAGTTTATAAACAAATCCTAATTTTCTAACTAGAATTGTGTTATTTTACAGTCGTCATCGTATATGTTAATACTAAGAAGACGACTTTTCATTTCAATTTTGATTTCTATAAAGTTCTCTCCACAAAAATGAATTCAAAGAAAAGCATTCAATTTACAGCTTCTCTTTGTTTACTTGTAAAATTGTAATTTTTATTGTAATTTTGTAATTTACAGCTTCTCTTTGTTTACTTGTAAAATTGTAATTCTATAAAAGCTTTCTAGAAATCAAAACTTCAATATATAATTCGCCTTCATTATATTGATATAAACGCTGACCACTGTTTAAAATTAGAAAAGTAAAAACCTTAATAGCTTGTGTCAGCCAGGTTGCGTTTTGTTGGACTAAACCTTTATAACTTAATCCTTGTTGAACTCCTTCATCTCGACCCTCAGCACAAAGCACACGTAGAACAGGGAGGTTTCTCCTAGAAAGTAAACCAGAGATGAGATTTTAAAAGCATAAACCCGACTAAAATCCGGTCTTTGCGTCTGCTTAACCCAAGTAAAGCTCAAGTCAAGACCCGGGTTTTGGATGGCCTTGAGTATAGTAAGAACCAACCATCTTGGGGTTTTCTCTCTTTAAGGTTCGAATCTTCAGCAGCTGATGATTGTAAATTTCGTAAAATCTTTTATATTTGTACATTTAAAATCTCGGGAATTATTTGTGGTGTCAAATTTTATTAAATATATAAAATAAACATACTATGAAAATAATGTATCTACATAAAGTTTGAACTTTCGAAATTTACATCTCCTTGTGACAGCTGATCTGACGGCATTATGTCTGCTACCTACAGAGAGAAAGCTTGCAAAACAGTCTCTCATTGGTCGAACCAGAACCAATCCTGACTTGGGTTCTATCTAAGCCCGAGTTTGGGCTTTAGTCGGGTTTAAGCTTTTAAAATCTCATCTCAGGGGTTAGCTTCGCAAACTTAGCTTTCAGTATCCACTAAACCCATTGTAAACAAATCTACACAATACCTTGATATAATCCATAGCCCGTGATTTAAAAAGTTAGGGAAAATACGGCTTGAGTCTAAGCTGTCGTTGGGCCTTATTTACGGCTTGAACTTTGGGATACAAGCTGCGTCATATTTTTTAACAGAGTTGATATCAATAAAAAGCTGTTAATCACGTGACACAAGCTGTTGCCAGAGTTGGGTCGAAGATTGGGTCTCAAAGTCGGGTTTAAGGAATTACGGCTCGAGCCGAAGTTTTTAAATCGCAGGCTCAGGTTATTACAGATATTGTCTCTTTAAAACTTGACTTTTTTCACATGACATTCGTTTTTTAGTTTTATACGTTTCTTACACACATATAACACATTTAATTTTTTTCTGTTTAACTACGTTGCAGTAATCATAATTCAAATTCAATACAGAAACCCATATTTAACTTTATAAGATCGAAATCAAGGTCAGTTTCAGGGTGCCATTTTTTATAGGTAACCCGCTTGTACCTGCCACCAATATTCTCCAGGTCTAACTGTAGGTCGGAGTTAAACTTAGCATGATACATTTTCTTGATATCACTCAGATCCGAACCATCCTGCCAAGCCAAAGCAGCAACTATATCCTCTATTCTAAAACAGGGATGCATAAAGTTTGGGGAAAAAAACATCTCCCCTTGTTTTCTTTTTTTTTATTTCTCCTGCTGTACAAACAATATAACATCATGCTTCTTCCAAAACAAACTAAAATCCCCTTCCATTCTTTTACATAATTCTCCTTTTAAAAACTTTTAATCTTCCTTTTTTAGATTCTATCCATAACAACCCCCCCCCCTCAATTTAAATCTCTTTAAATAAAAATATTTGTTTACCGAAAGTCGTCTTCCATGAGATGATAAAGGTACTCTGCATACCGTTCTGATGGGTCCTAAAAATAGAAAATAGAAAGTCGTCTTCCATGAGATGATAAAGGTACTCTGAATACCGTTCTGATGAGTCCTAAAAATAGAAAATAGAAAGTCGTCTTCCATGAGATGATAAAGGTACTCTGCATACCGTTCTGATGGGTCCTAAAAATAGAAAATAGAAAGTCGTCTTCCATGAGATGATAAAGGTACTCTGAATACCGTTCTGATGAGTCCTAAAAAATAGAAAATAAGGTTAGGGAAACATTTGGAAACACCAAGGCAGAGTGAGGATAAATGAGAATGGATGAGGATGAGGATGGATGGAAATGGATGAGGATGAGGATGGATGAGGATGTATGAGGATGGATGAGGATGAATGAGGATGAATGAGGATGGATGAGGATGGATGAGGATGGATGAGGATGGATGAGGATGGATGAGGATGGATGAGGATGGATGAGGATGGATGAGGATGGATGAGGATGGATGAGGATAGATGAGGTTAGGTCAGGTTGGATCAGGATGGATCAGGATGGATCAGGATGGATCTAGATGGATCAGGATGGATCAGGATGGATCAGGATGGATCAGGATATGGATCAGGATGGATCAGGATGGATCAGGATATAGTTCAGGTTGGATCAGGATGGATCAGGTTTGTATCAAGATAGATCAGGATATGGATCAGGATGGATCAGGATATGGATCAGGATGGATCAGGATGGATCAGGATATGGATCAGGATGAGGACTGATGAGAAGAAAATGAATATACCTGGATGAGTGAAATACAAAGATGCATGAAATCTCCAGCTAATCTATCCCTGAATTCCTGGATCAAAGTCTAGACAACGTGTAATCACTATTCTGATCAATTTAATCAATTATAAATGACTATTCAAATAAATATAGAGCGTCCATTATCATGTTGGATTATTTCAATACCTAAATGCCAAAATACTCAAATGCCACTGACTTTCTTAAAAGCAATAAGCCTTAATGATACGTCTTAGAAATAATGACATTGTATTAACATACAGTTAAACCGAGAAATTCGGAGAAATCACATAATTCTTTTAAATGTCGTCTTGACAATTTTTCAATGGGTTTAATACTTAATACCTCAAAATAAATAAAAATCCCTGAAATATGCAGGAACAGTTTTAAAGAGCTCCATATATTTATTAAATTAAAAAGCTAAATATCTGCAGCAATCCATTATCAGTAGGTTTAGAATACGAAATTTTATAAATTCTTGCGATATCTCCGATTCCAACCTTTCTCTGTTGTGTTTTGTACTCGTCTGCAATTTCTTGTCTTTGTTTTCTTGAATGTGTTGAGAGAACAAGGATAATTGTCTCTTCGTCTACATTCATTCCCTGCAGGATAATGGAACTGTAAAAACAGAAAAGACGACATATTTTCAGAAATTGTCCTTTTTTCTGGAACATTGAATATCATACTTGAAGTCATTGAATAAAAATGTTTGTGATAATTTTTTTTTAATCTATTAATAAAAAACTTTTTAACATACTGTTTTCAATTCTTTCTCTTCATTTTTACTATTTTTTCTTTATTGCTTCAGATAATGTGCCCCCGGTGGGCACGTGCCCATATGCCCTCTATCTATAACGGTCCTGGGTACAGGGTTGCAAACAAAAAACTCTAATGACGGTTCAAAGTTCTCGACAACCATGTTGGGTTCCTCTTTTCTTGTAGATAGTCTTCAAGGGACTATTTACTAATTACAGAGAGAGAAAATATGTGTAAAGCAGTAGAGAGACATAAACAGAGGCGTACACAGGGATTATGATATGGTTTACAGGGGGTTTTGGGCCACAATGGGCTCTGAGCCCCCTGGTGAATAAAACAAAAAGTAAGCCACAAATAGTAGGGAATTTTTAAAGACGACATTTGTAACGAAGACGACATTTTACCTGTAAAGCTTTGAAAAGTTTGGCGGAGCTTTCTTCCTTCTTAAACCTGACAGAAGGGAGTAAACTTGGTTTAAACTTATCCCTCACCCTCTCCTTGTGTGTTATCATCACCTCCTGGATACTCCTCTCAGGGACCTCCTCCTCAACCTTCATCATCATCATCATAATAATAATTTAAAATAATAAAAACATTAACAATAATAATAATTTATAAAAATAATAACAATATAATAATAATAATAATTATAATAATAATAATAAAAATAATAATCCCACCGTTTCGTCCAAGCTATTCTCTGCATCACTGGCTTCGTCCACGAAAATATCTATTTTTTCCATTCTTTTATTTCTCGCATTTCTCTCATTTTCATCCTCGTCGACGTAACTTCGCTTCTAATCATAAAACATCATTGCTATTTACTGGATTTACAAATACCTTGATTTTCGTTTATTTCCAGGAGTCACAATGAAAAAAAAAACACGTTGAAATTGGACTTCTTGAAACCGCGTTTGAACCAAAATATTCGGAATTCTAAGACTTCTAGTCATAGATTAATAACGATACAGATAGAACACTAGATTTAGGGTTATTTGTTCACAATTACCCCGAGGCAGAAGCCCAAAAGATTTAAGCGCATGCTGACCTGAATGATAAGACAGAGAGAGAGCATGCGCGTAACTCCTATGGGCTTCTGCCTAAGGGTTATTGTAAACAAAAAAAAAAAATCTTAAAAAGACGACATATAGTGTTCTGTCTGTATTGTTATTAATATATGATTGCAGTTTACTCGTAAACACGTTTCAGTTCGTCGCACTCAATTTTAAACGAGAAAAATAAGGGTTTCTCAATCGTTCATAACCAGACAAAGTTTTAAAGGGTACCATTGTCAATGAATAAGCAGCCACTTTATAAATGGATCGAAATTACGTTTACAGTCTCTTTAAGAGAATGCTTTTTATTTATTGAAAATCATTTGATTCCAATTTTGTGTTTTTGCTTTTACAAACAATCATTTTTATATATTCTATTCTATTCCTATATCGTAAACGGAAATAAGTTAAGTATTCGTTTGAATTTATCTATTTAGAAACCTTCAGAGATAAGAACTTTTGTATTGTAAATCCAGGGATCAAGCATTGATCTCCATCTTATACAGAACAACGGATCAATTTAATTTCTCTTCGATATCTTGTGGTGGTAAAATCCTTTAGGGATAACTTTAATAAACTGAAATTTAAAAAGATCTAACATTGATCCTGAAATTTAAAGTGTCTAGCATTGATCCTTAACTTCAAAGTGGCCATATTGGATTTCGAGATCTAACGTTCAAGATTAGCGTTTCTCCACTAAAAAGTTCTGATCTCTGAGCTGGGAACTTTTGAATGTTAGATATCGGGATTAATGCTTGATTCACTCGTTTTTTTAATCTCGAGATTAAATAACGCTTGTTCTCCTCTTGTCATAATTAATCTCCAGTTTAAGGATATCCCATTCAAAAGTGTTCAGCTCTGGATGTACATTTTTATACCTCTTTGTACAGATCGTCATCACTATCCTCGTCCGAAATCTAAAGATAAATAATTCATCTATTTTTTATTCAATAAACATAATTTAACATTTTCCCCGGTTAATCCTATTCCCTGAATAGCACAAAACAGTCCAATATACGTATGTTGAGTTGTTACTCTAAATCTTGGACCATAATTTAATTATTTGTTGACCCCTTTTTTATGACAACTCAGGACCCCTCTTATGCTTTATATGTCAATTTAGATTGTTTTCTTGTCTTTTGACCCAGCTTTATTTTTAATGGCGACCACAGGACGTTTTGTATGACCTTTTATTGTTTTATGCCAGCTTTAGTTGGTCTTTTTTATGACCTCCATTTTTTTTGGTTAAAATGTAGGTGGATATCTTCTCTGCGTTATGACAACCTAGACTGCAGGTTCCATCTCTTTTTATGACCTTATATGCTATAACTCTTGTTTAAGCCAATTTAGCCATTTCCTTCTCTTTTTTATGACCTGTCGTATGACCCCCTCTTTTTTTTGTTACGACCAAAGGCTGTTTTTTTCTCTGTTTAATTGTTTTTGCTAAGGAACTGAGTTTTTGTCACAAACTCTACTTTTCTAATCTCTATATCTTTGTTACCCAATGTCGTAGACCTTAGATATTTCTAAATATGAATTCTGTTAGACCAAATAATCTAAGTTTGAAATAGCAAAGGTTTACGCCATCAGATTGTAAAGATATAGGGATTAGACAATTTGAGTTTGTGACAACAACTTAGTTCCTTTATGCCATTTCATTCTCTTTCTTATGACTTCACGTACAGGGTGTCCCACGAAACATTACAGTATGCAGGACGACTTGAATGTCGTCTTGATTTTTGATATAATTTGCTGCGTTTATTTGTCAACCTAATTTTAGAAGTAAATTTCTAGAGATAATAATCACAAAATTTCCCTTGTCCTGCCATTTCCAAAATGTGGTCTGCCTTTTTTGTGCTTTCAATATTGCCCGAAATATGAAGACTTTCGTTCAGATTTCGACAATTTAGGTTTTATTTAACAAAATTAAAATCTGAACCAAACTCTTTATATCTCCGGTAATATTGAAAGCACAAAAAACGCAGACCACTTTTTGGAAATGCCAGGGCTAGGAGAATTATGTGATAATTGTTTCAAGAATCATACATGTTAAAGTAGATAGAAGACTAAATGTCACAAATAAATTCAAATACCAAAGACGACTTTCAAGTCGTCTTCCAATTGTCATGTTTCGTGGGACACCCTGTATGACCCTTTTTTGACAAGCTATTTTTTTATGAATATTTTTAATTAAAAAGATGTCTCACCGGCTCTGGATCCTGTCGCAGTTTTTCATTTTTTCTTCGAAGTTTATCACTCATCGTTCTCTCTCTCCAGGATACTATCTCACCCTGAGACAGAAATTCAAAATAATATCGTGTAACCAAACTTCCAAGTTTCCTTTTTGAGGTATAATATATATTTGTGTAGATTTCCATTAAAAAATAACAAATAAAAATAGACTAGAAAACTAACCATTAAAAAAATTGCATCTATATAAAACAAATAAAAAATATTATG